CAATTATATTTGAAATCTACAGAAATTGAAGTAATTCATTTCTCATTGATGCTAATGCAGGTAACTGTATTAAAAGCTATAATGGCATATAACTCTCCTGGTTCACAAACATGCATATGGCAGAATCATAGAGAGGGCTTATTTTGCTCTGGGATTCATACACCGTTATGACACTATCCAATGTGTTATGGCGATTGTAATACTTTGTAGACTAGTGGAAAATGCATCTAAAAATAACTGTGCCATTTCTGAGCCAAAGCAGAGGTAATTGATGTTTCCTAGAAAAATGATCCCTCCTGGCTTTGTGGAAGATCTGTGTGAGCGCTTCAGTGCAGGTGGACCCGAGCAGAGCTCTGGCCTCAGTATCACAGCAATTCTCTGAAGCCCCAAAGCAAGGTTCATAGAGTTTCTTTAGAATCTCCACTTGAAACTCAGATTACGCTATGTAAGCGGCCTATGGAGTTCTCTATTAAAGGATCCCTGCTGCTCAGGCATTTTTTCCCCATTATAATACACTGCTGTAGATGTAACATTGTAGATGCTCTATCATTTATCTAATACAGCTCAAAAGGTTTCCGTCACTGTGGATGCTTCTAAATTATGTCATTACAAACAAGCCCTACTACCAAAAGAATGCTTGTTTAGGGAAGACATTATATGGCACATCAGCGTTAAAGTACTAGTTCTGTATTTCGAGTTCATCCATAATAAAGGTGCTGAACAGGAAAGCATTAGATATGTTACAAACATAAGCAATTTTGTCAGCAAGCTTGTTTGCGAATGCACATTTATAAACTTGGAGCGCACGGCTATGCTCTAACTTACACCATTCAGAAGTCAGGTGTTTATCAGTGAAAAGGGGGGTGTCATTACTCAGCTTTTCCGTTTCCCTTACCAGAGACTGGTAATCAACCACTAGGATGTTTGTCCCTGCCTGGAAAGCAGGCAAATGAAGCAATTCAAGCAAGGCGGTTTCCAGAAGAGAATAAAACAGAGGTCCCGTGGTTACATTGTTTGAAGATTTTGTTCAACTCTCCCCTGAAAAACAGGGTTAAAGTGAATGCTGGAGCTAAAACTGACTGGAGAGTGAAAGTTCCTTCCCAGGCGTTTTCCTTTCCTCTTTGCCATGGCTGAGTGTCCTGACTTATTGCACTTTGTAAAGTGAGTTAATTGCTTAGGTTTTAGAACCAGAGAAGCCTGGATTCAGCATTGGCCTCAACCATCGTGTCTTATAAGCTCTCAGACAAGTTGTTTGACAAAAACTCCTCATATGTTTTCTCATGTCTATAACGTATTAATCTTTGTGGTTTAAGTTAATAGCTTTTTGAGCTAGAGAAGGCTATTTTTTAGCCACATTCTGCATGGAAGGAAATGAACACTTGATGAACTTGGAGATTGGTACTATCTTAAACATAGAACTGTAACAGAATTGAACATAGACTCCATGACCTCTGGCTTCTGACTACCAGCTATTTCTATTCCAATATCCAAGATTCTCGACATGCTTTGTTTTTGTTGAGTATTCTAACCTTACTAATGTAAAGAGTTATTTTCATTTTTAACCCAAACAAATCTTTATTTAATCCAGGCATGTTAAAAAGTGAAGAGGAAAAATATGTCAAACAGCTCGTCAGGTCAAATATATCTTACATCTGTTATTTTGAAACTTGGTCCCTAGTTTTCCTAAACTGTTTCTACTTTTCTCCAATTCTTGAATTTCATTTAAAGCTGAAGAAACGTGCCTCTTGCTCATCTCTAGGATTCCATGAGTCCCATAGAGAAAGTACAGAATGAAGGATGCTCTCCATGAGTACAACTCCCTTGTGCACTAATGTTGTCTAGGAACTGTTTTGAATGACATATACTTACTTTCTGTATGTAATTTTTTTGATGATCTAAAAATTATAGTACTTATAGTGAAAATATATCTACAAATTATTTCTGAATATTTAAATGCAGATTGTATGCATTCCAATCATAATATGTCATAGTGTCTAAGTTATGTTTTTCTATTCACTCATTCATCTCACTAGAAATCAGTAAGTATTATGGTTCTAATTACTTATTAATACTTAGAAAAACTGCCAAGAATATTGTACTTAATAAATATCTGTTATATGAATGATTGGATGCTTCCTTTGGCCAAACTGCATTCCTTCGCCTTTCTGTATTCTTTCACTCTGTCTTCTATCTACACAGTGACTATCAGTATGAATCCCCATCAAATGGTAATGCAGCTCCTTTATACTGTATCATCCTTTCTCAACTACATTATAAGAGCCATACCTAGTTAAGATACAGTTTCCCCCCCCAACACCTATGCCATCTGTCACACCCTCAAATAACCTCCATTGCCATACAACAATGTACTAATATCTATCAATAGGGGAAAAACCTTGATCTCACAGACTCCTCCAAATTTGTCTCCATTTCTTTAGTCTCTCCTTTTTTTTACTGAAAAACTAGTTTTTTCATAAAATATATTTTGATTGTTTTCTCCTCCCCAAATTTGTCCCAGATCTTCCCCTTCTCTGTAGCAATTCAACTTTATTTTCTTTATCTCTTGCCTCTCTTTTTTTCTAACTTAGCTTTTTATTGATTCTTTGTAGATTTCACATCATGTATCTTGATCCCACTCATCTCCCTGTCCCTTCTCGTCTGTCCTCTGCCCTTGCCACCTCCCCACCCCCACAAGATAAAATAAAATAAATTTTAAAAGAAAAGAAAATTCTCATCATGGAAGCTGTAGTGTGTCACAATGAGTCACACAGTATACCCTTTATCCATATATCTTTACTTATAAGTGTTCACTGCAATGAGTTTATTGGTCTGGTTGGAGACCTCTGGTTTTTGCTACATTATCAATACTGGCCCTCGCTAGGACTCCTTTTGGATATTCTGTTGTTGTCATGTGCCATGGAGATCCTGCAGCTTTGGGTCTGCAGGACCAGCCCCTTCATGTGCTCCAGCAGATGATAGATGAGGTGGATGCTGGAGTGGGCCAACTCATAGCCCTGGATCTGGGCCTGGGTGGTTTCTGGGTTAGTCAGTCTGCCAGCTCTCCCTCATCCTCAACACCAGGGTGAGCTCTCCAGAATTGCCTAGGCTAGTTAACCCTATACAGCAAGGAGCAAAAGGCTGGCTAGTTCTCCTACTTTCTGCTCTTAGGGCCTGCTCACCCACACCTAGAGCACCAGGACCAGCTCTACTGTTTTGCCAGGAGAGCTGCAAGGGCCACTCTGACATTTCTCTCTTTTTAAAAAACAAACAAATGAATTTAAAAAAAAAAAAGTTCTCAAGTCCTGGATTACCTTTGTCATTTACATAAACATTATGTTGGTGTTTATTGGGCATCACTTGGGCATTTATTCTCCTTTAGTTTTTCCTCCCTAATTTTATTAAGTAGTTTCCTTTTGTCTTCTAAAACTCCATGAATTCTTTGATGAAGTTTGTGATTATTCTTTAAATACTGTGTTATGGCATTCATCTAGGGCAGTGGTCCTCAACCTTCCTAACACTGTGACCCTTTAATATGGTTCCTCATGTTGTGGTGACCCTCAGCCAGAAAGCTATTTTTGTTGTTATTTCATAACTTTGATTTTGCCACTGTTATGAATTGTAATGTAAATATCTGATATACAGGACATTTGATGTGTGACCCCTGTGAAAGAGTTGTATGATCCCCCGAAGAAGGGGTCTCAATCCACAGGTTGAGAACCACTGATGAATATTCTTCTCATGACAAATGTATCTACAAGTGTGGTAGGTTTGGAAAAGAAGATACCGGCTTGATCTTTTATATTGTTTGTATTTTCTGTCATGAAATCTGGGCATGTGAACTTCTTTTCTTAGTTCTAAGTCATATGGACAAAGAAGGTTAAGACATAAAAGAGGATGTGTAGGTGGGTTGGTCCAGGCTAGACTCTGGAGAAGAATCTTGTCTAGATTCCTATATGAATCATTTTTTTTGTCTATATTTCCTGAATATAATTCTTCCCTTCTGATTTTTTTCTCTTCTTTTTTTTTCTAACTATAACAAAAAGTCTAAGAAAGCATAAGCATTGTCTATTTTTATGGCTGTATGCCAACTGTGGGACAGAGCCCTGTCCATGGTTGAAACTTACGTATCTTGAACCAGTTCAATGACTCCTCTTAATTATGAAAACATACAGGAAGAATATAATATTATCACAGGAACAATTACATTACTTGGTAGTCTGTCCTCATCATCCTTGACTTCAATGCTATCCCTTTGAAATTCAGACTTCTTTGGAGGGCTTTAATTTTAATCAAGAGGCCAGAGTTTTTCAGTGAAGAATCTACAGAATTCACCCATACATTCCTCCAAGGTCTAAGGCTACACAAACTGGTAAACTAGACCAATATTACTCAGTAGCCACCCTCCTGTTCCAAAGCAGTAGGAAGGCCCAAGGTGGGAACTCATTAATACAGCATCAAGAGTTTAAATGGGAGATCCAGAATCAACACAAGCCTACATGTGTAGGAGACATAATTGACTATGAAGCCAGATTCGTTGAAGGTGCTAAGCTTGGGGGGCTGTGGTAAAGGATGACTATGAGGTGAGACTCTAGTATTAGTGTATTGGTGAGGAACAAGAGGGTCTCTGATAGGGCTGGCCCAGAGAGCATGGCATTAGCTTCTGATGGACCAACACCAGGCTTCCCCAGGGAAAAGTCAGTCTCTTAGTGGATTATGCACCCCCTCTATTGGAAAGTGGAAGAGAAACTTTCCCTTTTTGACTGAGTGACTGTCAGAGTGAGTTGACTCAAGAGAATGAGGATAAGCTAGGGAGTTGAGATGGTAGCCAATTACATGGGAGTTCCCTCTCACAATAACAAAATGCAGTCTCAGATTGTTAAATAAACTATGATTTTATTTGTTTTCATGGTGTAACAAATATGACTCGTTATATAAACAGTCACAAAATATATTCCATGACTAGGTAACTGTAAGTAGAAGTCACCTAGAAAATAGTTCTCCTGTGGCCACATAAAGTGAGAAAATGGAAGCTTAAATAAATTTGTACAAACTTTTTTTGCAGGGAGGGGCAGGAAGACTTCTCAAAGAGGTAATAGGATAAAGTATAGCAGGCCTCAGATTTGTAGAATAAAGAAAATTTTTCTTTAGAAGAGGGATTCCATGAGATTAACATTCTAGAGAACAAAAATGAAGAAGAACCATTGCCAAGACTAAACTGCACAATACTGGATGATTTCAGAGGGAAATTTTCTTTATGGTTTGATTGAAGACTAGAATTTGGGGCCAGATAAGTACAGCATCAGAATTCACACAAAATAACTTATTTTCTGAGAATACTTCATTTTAATATTATAGTTGCTAAAAAGTTTGTATTTATAAACCTGTAAAGATGATACATTTCAGAATGTAATAATCTACTGTGTGTGGTGAGCAAAAGTCATCCAGTGCTCCTCATGTCATTTGCATAGAGACCTTGTAAAACATGTACCATCATCTGAATTTTTCCAAATACACACAGCAAAACTCGTGCTACTTAAGAAACTTAATAAAAGAAATTAATGATGTGATCCAAGTCTGAAGTCATTCATTCTCGTGTCCAAAATCTTCCTTCCTTTTGTCTCCCTTCTTTCCTTTTTTTCTTCCTCTGTCATTCATGAAGATTTTCTAAAATATAAAGTCAAACCAAAAATCAGCAGACTCTCCACCATGAAACAGAAAATGAAAGAAGTATTCTATTTTGGGAAATCAGTGAAAAAAAAAACCTGCAGGTTTCATGGAAAAAAAGAAAGAAAAATCCAACTTAGAGTTACAGCCCTGTGTTACTTTATATGGCCACCCTTCCATTCTCATATTTTTCCAGACTCTTTTTGTTTCATTTGAGCATATTTTTCCCTTAAAACAAAAGCTCCAGTTAAGATGAACGTAAGTTATTAATAATTATTGAAAGGGCTGTTCAAATGCCATTTCAGATGGCACCTGTTCCCTCCCTTCCGCAGGATCCACTCAGAGGTAAGTTGATGCAATTGTGGATGTTCTACTTTCCACGCTCCGTGTTTTAGTTTTTCACATGGTAAGAAACAAAGGCTTCATGCAGATGTGCTCAGTTACCACTTGAGACACAGGTTTTTACCTTCTCTCACTTGCCTTTCAAATTGCTTACAATTTTGTTATTTCATACCCAAATAGTCTTTTACCTCAAATACAGGTTTTTCTCACCAACTTGTGCACTGAAATACTTGAGCTCTAATAAATCCTGACTATAGGACTTCACCTCATAATACTTACATTGTCTAGCACACTGAAATATTTTTTAATGTTTTGGGAATAAATCAAGGAATGCCAACATTGTAGATTCATTTTCTGGTAAATTTCAGTTCTCGCTTCATCATATTTTATTAACTCAGGTCAAGATTTTATATTTTAAATATTATACATTTATAAATCCAACCACAATCAGGAAAGAAAATTTAAACAATAATGAAATACCATTTTATACATCTTTTTGATGAAAACAACATCAGACAATAAGCATCCTTAGTAGAGGAAGAGGCATTTAGAGGAAAGAATTGGAAATACGTGTGTGGTTAAACTCCTGATGGAAAATGGATACATTCTATGATAAAGGCACTCTGCTTTCTAGTTGATTTAGCTTGTACTACTTCATAAAATACCACAGACTGGGTGGGCTGAATAACAGACATTCATTTATTTTTATTTAATTTTTTTTATACTTCTGAGAGTTAGGGAAAGTAGCTACCAGGTCATTACCTGGATTTGGTTCTAGATGGAGGCCTTCTTCCTGCCTTGCCCATAGTTCACACCTCATTGTGTGAGCATATAACCTTCTTTTGCAGAGGAAAGAGGGAGGGGAGAGGGGAGAGAGGGAGGGAGAGAGGAAGGGAGGGAGGAAGGGAGAGAAGGGAGATGGAAAGGCCTTTCTTTTTTGTACAAATTTCTTTTTTATTTATTAATTAATTTTTTTCATTTATTTAACATCTTAATTGTAGATTCCCTTGCCCCCTCCTCCCATTCCCTTCCCCCACCTTCCCTCTGCCCCCCTCCCAGATCTACCTCTCCTTCACCTCTGCTCAGAAAGGGGCAGGCCTCCCATCAGTGACAACAAATCCTGGCATATCAAGCTGAGATCCACCCTGACTCCCCTGGCTCATAAATCCTTCCTCCCTCTCCTCAACAGGATTCCCCAGGCTCAGCCCAGTGCATGGCTGTGGATCTCTGCTCCTGTTTCAGTCAGTTACTGGACGCAGGAGATTTCTTCTATTTCCTCTTCCCTGGGAAAACCATGCATCCCCCTTGAACCCACCATGTTACCTAGTCTTTCCAGGGCTGTGGATTGTTGCCTGGTTATCCTTTACTTTACATCTAATATCTACTCATGAGTGAGTACACACCATGTTTGTCTTTCTAGGTCTGGGTTACCTTAATCAGGGTGATCTTTTCTAGTTCCATCCATTTGCCTACAAATTTCATGACGTCAGTGTTTTTAACAGCTGAGTAATACTCCATTGTGTAAATATATCACATTTTCTTTACCCATTCCTCACTTGAGCATCTAGGTTGTTTCTGGGTTGGCTGAGGATACCCCTTAAATTTATTCTCCTCCTCCAGTTTCTACTCATTTTAATCTGACATCTTCTCCAACCTTGCATCATCCAATATTCATATACAAAGTTCTGAGTCATTTATTATCCCTTTTAAAAAGCCTTCAGAGCCAAGTATTTGGTACAATGGCAGAGAACAGGTTTAGCATGTGTGAAGTTGTGGGTGCCATCCTCAGAACCAAATAAATCAGGCAAAAGAAGCCTACAATAAACCGACTCATTGATTTGAAAACATTTGTTCTACTAGTTGAGTAAAGAGAAAACAAATACATAAAAACTGTAAAGTACGTTGTGAAGCAAACAATACCGAAAACCGCTGTGAATGGGGGTATTAAATATATACTTGCTTTGCATTCTTGAAAGTTATTATATAACCCAGCACAAAACAAAGAGAGAATGCAAAATAAGAGTTAATGCGAGTTGAGAAAAAATTGTAAAGAAGGAGAAAATGAAAGGAAGGAGAGTCAGACTGAGGAGCCTTTTACTTTTTTAAAAGGAGAAAAGCATCCCTTCCCATGCAACTTTGACCTTTTGTAAAAGTCATTTGAAAATCTACTAAGACAGAAAAACATATGCATAAAACTGTTTAGATGGACTTATCCTACAACATGGCAACAATTCCCTTATTAAACACCACAAAACACCACAAAAAAAAAAAGCCAACAAAACTTCCAGAGCCAGGGATTAATTACCTCTTTTGAATCTGTTGGCCAGTGAGGTCCCATAGACCCCCAGACTTTTCCCGCTGTTGCCAACTTCCTTGTTACCTTTGAGAACTCAACTGTAAGACCTTGTGGCTAAAGATGCCATACACTTCACTCACAGAACATGGAGGAACCGAGCTGGTACTCCCCTGGAAGCTTCATCTTTACTAACTAGCTTTCATGGTGCTGAAATGCACCATGCACACAACCAAAGAAGAGTAAGTATTCATTTTACTCAGTTCTGAACCCTGAGAGCTACATTAATGATCAGTCTGGCATGACATGCCCATTGATACAACTGTGTCATGAATATCATGGGTATAATCAACCACTTTCTATTTACATTTAAGCCCTGCTCTGCAAAACAAAATCAGGAGCTGTTTTTTGAGACAGAGGCTCTCATGGGTCTAGTGTTCACCGATAGACTTGGTAGTCTGGTAACTAAGTCTCAAAGACCTGTTCTGTCTGCCTCCTAGTTCTGGGATAAAGACAAGTACAACTACACCTAGCTTTGCCCTTCTGGTCGGATTGTTCATTTCTGAGATTGTGATTTAATTAAAATATTTCCCCCTTCCGTTTCCTCCCTCCAAACCCTCTCACATACCTACTTCCTTGCTTTTCAATGTTATTGCATGTGTGTATATATACACATACATATTCCTAATACATATATATTCCTAAATATAACCTTTTGAGTCCATATAATGTTAGTTGTATATATAATATACCTGGTATTTTTATATTGATTAGAGGAAATGAACTCAGGTCCTCATGCTTGTTTAGAAAGCTTACTAACACACTTTAAGAAAACATTTTTCTGCTACACCATATGCTTGCTAGGTGGGATTCTAAGCAACAGGAAGAGAAATATAAAAAATGGTCACACCTTTGCTTTTAAGAAGTTATTTAAAAGTATAGAGGAAAGATAAACCACAATAATGCGCACTGGACTACGGGGAGCCCTTGTCAGAACACACAGGGACCAGCAAGTGTCACTCAGTAGTATTTAATGCCTCTGGATTTGTACCCCTTTAATCCATCCTTCATAATGAAACTGAATCTGGCCATAAAACCTATGATATTAAATGCTGAACTGGATTCTAGTAAAGTAATAGGTTAAATAATTTAATCTAGGATCAAATTATGATCTTTCCTCTGTTTTCTTCTCTGGTCTCCCTTCAAAATATCACCTTTGTTTTAACCTTATACTCCTGGGTTTCAACTGTGGTACATCATGTCCCACTTCGGACCCCAAGGCACACTTTCTTTTCTCCATAGAATCCCACCTTTATCTCATCTGTTTGCAAGATTCCAGCTTGTTCTTTGAGCACCTGTTTAAGATACTCAGATCTTCTGTAAGCCCTCTCTCGACCCCTCCCTTTCCATGTCCTGACTCATAGAACTTTGTTCTGAGCCATGCTTACACAATGGCACTGTGTTATAATATATAATGTTATACAATGTTGTACCACTGGTTTAAAAGTATTTTTGAACACTTACCTTAACCACTCACTGAGTGATTAGCTAGTGAGCACTGTGGTTGAAATCATTTAGACTACATAGATGAAATACCTGAACCAAGATAAATTTGTTTGCATTGTACGATGGCTTTCACTGACCATAATTAGGGTCCAGTACAGTGATTTAAGAAGTTTAATTAACCTGGATTTTTTCAGGACTCAAATTAAAGGTTACTAAATAGCTCCTTGACTAACTGGAGAAAATAGATGAGGCGATTTGGATAGAAGTTGCTGTAAATTAATGTAAGTGTATATGTGATAGAAAGTGGGGAGTCCTGAGAGAGTCCTAGGTGTGTGGTCATAACAGGAATTGAGGATTATATGATACCACTGAGAAAAAGACACATGAACCCCCTGTGGCTAGGCATCATGTTTATTTGAACTTTTGTAATACTTACATTCTGTTTTCATATGGCTGTCTTCCCTCAAGTTACACTCAGGGACAGAGAAACTATAAGAAAACTATTAGGTAAATAATAATGGTGGCTGCTTTGATTTACAGGATATTCAGACAATGTATGTGTATGTAAATTTTAAATGAAATATATGTGTGTAACAGCAATTAATAAAAAAAAGAGGCCATGAAGTTGAAAAAGAGAAAAGTAGGGTACATAAGATTGTCTGAGGGAGGGAAGGGAAGTGAAAATGAAGTAATTATAATATTAAAATAAAGAAATTATTAAGTAACAATTATCAGCCAATGTCCAAAAAGATTACTTGTTTTTTTATTTCTCATTCAATCATTTTTAAAAGAATGAAGACTTAGATTTTCTCCAATTTTTTTTAAATTTCCCCTGAGTAAGATGAAACGGGAAACATGT